CAGTTCCTGCACTCTGAGACCATTGATGGAGAAAACATGTAGGGTATGCCAGGGCTCATCATGGTATTGACCAGGGCCTCTGCAGCTACATTTCACCCTGACTGTCTGCTCTAAGCCAAAGGGGACCCCACAGATGTAGAGCCCTTCTCTCATTTTTAGATGGGGAAACCAAGGTCACGATAAGGGCAGAGGGAACTATGTCACACAGTGGCTGGCCAGGAGGACCCAAGTCTCAGGACATGGCAGGGTCTGCTCTCTCCACTGCCTACTTCAGCCTCTGCAGCCCAGCTCAGGCCCAGGCCGGGCTATGGCACTGAGCAGGGTGCCCCAGTGATGCCAGTAAGTGAGTGTTTTCACTCCTGGGGAGGGGCCAGGCATGCAGAGCCAGTGGCAGCTAAGACACCCACCCATGTGAGCAGGCAACAGCTCCCTCTGTGCTGGCATCAGCACACCCAGTGTATTCTGTAGTTTGTCAAGCACATGTGCGTCACTGTCCTTGTGTCTGGGGTCACTTCATCTGTCTGAGAAGCTGTGCATATGTCGGCATGTGTAAAACAGCAGGTGAATATCATGGCACATGGAACCGACAGTGTGCACACTGTGGGTGCCCTGAGTTGGGACCCCAGGCCCTAACTCTTTACTTCTTTAAATGGCATTAAGTTAAGGTCAGTGGACCATAAAGAAGGCTGAATGCTGAAGAACTGATGCTTTCGAATTGTGGTACTGGAGAAGACTCTTGGGAAATCAACCCTGAATATTCATCGGAAGGATTGATGCTCAGGCTGAAGCTCCAATACTTTGGCCACCTGATGTGAACGGCTGACTCACTGGAAAAGACCTTGATGTTGGGAAAGATTGAAGGTGAAAGGAGAAGAGGGCAGCAGAGGACGAGATGCTTGGACAGCAACACTGATTCAAAGGACATGAACTTGGGCACTCTGGGAGATGGTGAGGAACAGGGAGGCCTGGTATGCTGCAATCCATGGGGTCGCAAAGAGTTGGACGCAACTTAGCGACTGAACAACAACAACAAAAGGTCAGTGGACAGTCCAGCCTCAGAAACACCTACTTTCCTGAAAGAGAGACAGCATGGTCTGCCGCCAGCTCACAGCTGGCCAACAGCGAGGCATGTCCCAGCAGGGTGGCCCCTCCTGTATCTGACCTGGAACCAGGAACAGATGCTTCCTGAAGGTTCTGACCATTTCTGCAGGGGTGTCTGAGGGAGCCACTGTGCCACTCACCTCTGACCTCCCATCTACCCCTTCCTGATGGAATGGTGCTGCAAACCAGACCCTTTAACTGGACAAGCTGTCTTAGACATGACAACGGTATCCATCTGGCACTCATGCTGCAGGCCCCTGTGTCTATGTATGTTTCGTGCATAGGTCCTGGTGGTGTCTTCCATTTTGGCTGTCATATATAAGTTAGCACACACACCGTCTGTGCATATTTGAGCTGAGGATGTCAGCATCCGTGTCTGCACCTGTCTTGTGCCAGCAGCTTTGGGAGCTGCTGTGTGTGCGTATGGGTGTGAGCACACGTGTGGGCTGCTGTCTGTGTGCCTTTGAGAAGGCATGGATCTGTTGGTTGCTGTGGGTGCTTGTGTGGGCATGTGTGTGAGGCTGTGCCCACACCTGTGGGGCCCCTGTGATCTGTCCTGGCATGCCTTCCTATCTGGGCGGGTCTGGGCCTGCTCTCTTACCCTCTAAGGTACCCGAGGTGAGCACAGGAAAACTGGAGGCTGATGGTACCCCTGCACCTGTGGTCTCAGCGACCCACTGCTTTCTTCTGTATCTTCCAGCCTCACCTCTAGGTCTCTCTTCCTGGGGTTTTACCACATCTGGTACTCAATAAGTGATTGATTGGTGAAGGAATGGATGAAAAGGGGTCTCTGAGGGGGTGGTCTGGAGGGGAGGAAGGCGGGCATTCTAGGATGGGAGCGAGCGCCAGCTTTGGACCGGCCGCGCAGAGCCTGGGCTGGGGGCATCAGGGTCTGTGGGCCGCCCCCGCGCTCCCTGGGGACGTCTCGGGTCACCGTCTGCACCGCCGGCCGCGCCGCCCCGCGGGTTATTTATGACCCCCTCTCCCTCCCTGGCGGCGGCGGCGGCGGCGGCGGCGGCGGGCGGCAGCAGCAGCGGAGGGCCCCGCGCGGGGGAACCTCGAGAAGCGACGGCGCCGCGGAGGCCGGCGGGCGGGGGGCGGGGCCTCCTCGGGCTAGAGGAGGAGCTGCAGCCGTCGACCCCACCTGCGTTCTCCGCGGGGTCGCCAAGCCTGAGGGCCAGGTGGCAGGGAACCCAACGCCAGAATTCTGTCCCTCTGGCCTGATTCCAGTCTGAGAAGTGCAGAGGAACGTGAGGGTTCAGGCGCCAGACGGACACAAGTGGACAGGCGGGAGGAAGGGAGCAGATCCTTCTGGGAAGGCTATGACAGCCAGGGTGAGGATACCTGGTCCCCCAGGGGAAAGCTGCTCTGAGGCCCCGTGGGCAGAAGGCTCTATTCCCCAAGAACAGGGGGAAATATGTGGGGGCTGGGGTGAACTGCCCTGATCAGTCAAGACCCTGGAGAACCCCTGGAAGATGTCTCCTTGGAGTCAAGAGTGGCCCTGAGAGGAGGGGGGTCCTGCAGGGAATTCTGGACCCAGTCACCGTGTTTTCAGAAGGGAACCCTGGTCCTCCAACGAAGGCTGGAGCCAGATGGCAGCATGGAGGTTAGGCTGGGTCCGGTCGGTCAGCCCCACACCTTGCCAGCTGGGCCTTTCCCTGACAGCCACAGGTGGGGTCCCCCGTGGTACTCCTAACCACTGTGGGCACATGTGTGACGAAAGAGGCCAGGGATGAGTGAAGGGTGGTCCTGGGAGGACCCGTGCTCAGACTCAGGACAGAGGAGAGACAGCTGCCTGGTATCTTCTCAGATCCAGAGATGAGCTTTCAGCCTCCCTTCTCCAGGCCACAGTGTGAAGGTCAGGGGTTAAGAGGCCTGAGGCTCAGCGGACAGGTGCAGGCAAACATTAGAAGAGCTGGGCGGAGGCTGTCTTTTGGCAGCTGGGTCAGGGCTGTAGCCAAACAGGCTCATTCTACTTGGCCTCTCCGTATCGAGCTATGACCACACAGATTAACATGACAGCTCCCCGTGGGTCTTGGCACTCAGGTGAGGACAGCCTCCTACATCCATTAGACATGGACCATCACACCTGAGAACAAGACATAGACCACAGAGGCTGGGTGTGGAGGAGCTCACACCCAGTGACACCCTAGCTGTCACTCCTGGGGTCAGGTATATGCAGGAGTCCAGGTTACAAAGAGAGCAATGGGGCCAAGCGTGGTGAAGTAAGGAGGGGTCACTCACATTCACACCTGTCTTGCCACCCATCCCTTAAAACCCCACAAATAAATATACAAGAAGTAAAGGAGTGGAAGTTCCCAGACACATTCCTGGTCTGAGCCCAGACCTCACTCCCCAGGTTGGTCTTGGGGCTGGCTGATACCTTAGCTGAGAATGAGGTGAGCAGTGTACATCAGCACAGGGGTCCCCAATAGTCAGCCACATGCCCAGCTAGTGCTGGCATCTGGTAGGAGGCCCCTGGGGAGTAGGGCTGGAGTGTTCCTTCACTCCCAGCCCACCCTTGCAGAAGGTGCAAGCACTCCTATGATCCAGCTCACTCCCACCCCCACCCACCCCCTGCTCATATGGGTGCCCCACCAGATACATCTCAGAGGGGCACGGGCAGGGGTCTGAGAGCAGAGTTGGGAGCTGAAGCTACTTTTCAGCTTGTCCAAAATGGCACACTCGAGAAATACAAGTTCTCACCAAGTACTATCAAAGCCACCGAGTTTCTCAGTTTCTCTTCCTAATTATCCCACCGCGGGGCCACCATGCCAAACTGCAGCAGGGAGGTATCGGTTGATCCCAGGGGACAACCCCCCTCATTCCAGGGCTAGACCAAGGCTGGAGGAACAGGTGAACATGGATGCAGAGGTCCCTCATCCTCAGACTTGCACGTGGCAGGTAACAGAAATATGCTCAAGGGCACAGTCCCACATTCAGCTGCCTCTCCTCCTCCCCACATACCCCACCCTCCACCCAGATTGCCTCTAGCCCCACTTCCTTGCCCTACCCCATGCTGTTTGTTGTGGAGGCAGACAGCCTGGATTTGAAACAACCGTGTGACACCAGGACAGTTACTTGGCCGTTTTGTATCCCGCCCTTCCTCATCTGTAAAATAAAGACTCTTTGGGTGTTAAATAAATAAATATAATAAATAAACTCATATTAGGTGATCAGGTGAACTAAGGCTTGTGAAGTGCATGGTAAGGGGGGCAGTTATTGATAGAATTATCGTTGTTATTCACAGACCACAAACCTTCCCCAACACATTTTCTGCGACCACACACCACAAAGCCACAGCGCACACCCTGCAGACGCCCGAGGAGACCACTCACTCCCTCCTCACTGATTCCTACCACCTACCCAGAGCTGCTGGCTCACAAGCACCCGCCAGGAAAGCTGCAATTCCGATCCCGGATACGCTCTTTCGCAAGGAGCCAGCCCTCGCCCCACGTGGACTCCGGGACTCTGACTGGGGCGCCCAAACAGTGACTCCCTCAGCAGTGTCGCCGGCTGTGTGCGCCGCGACTCGCTGGCATCCGTCCCCCGCACCACCACCTCTTACCCGCCCCCCCACCCACCGGTCTCCTCTCCTCCCGAACGAGAACGCCCACCCGGGAATAAGGCAGGAGGTGCAGCCAGGTCCCGTCGCCCCCGTCTTAGCCCAGTCGGCCGTCACGCACCCCCTACTGGAGCCCGTGCCGCCCGCCCGCCGCGCCAGGGCCGTTTAAATGGGCCAAGTTGTGGCGGCGGCGGCGGCGCGAGTCTCCCAAGTCCCCGCCGGGCGGGCGCGCGCTGGAGTACGCGGGTGCGCGGCTGGGACGGTGGGGCGGGGCGGGGGCCTGGGACCCTCGGGCGGGGCGGGGCACGCGGCCGGAGGCTGCACAACTCCTCACTGCCCGGCTCGGCCCCGCGGGCGCAGCAGCGAGCCGGGCGCCGGGCCGCCCCAGGGGGCGCGGGCGCAGGTGGCCCAGCGCCCGGTGGAGCCCCAAGGCCCTGGAGCTGCGGCCCTGGGCAGGTCGTTCGGGGATCGATAGAGCTCCGGCAGCACCATGTCTCGGGCGGCAGAGGCCCTGCCAGCCGGACGGGCAGCGGTCCGAGGTGGCCCGGCTGGGGCGCAGTAGCAGGGAGGGCGGGTGTGCAGCCAGGAGGCTCCTGAGCCCCGGCCCTCGAGACCCAACTCCAGCCCGGGCCGGAACAAGTTGCGCCGGCGGCAGAGGGCCAGGCTGCAGGAACACAGGCCCACCATGCCGGCGGTCAAGAAGGAGCTACCCGGCCGTGAAGACCTCGCTCTGGCTCTGGCCACCTTCCACCCGACCCTGGCAGCGTTGCCACTGCCGCCGCTGCCTGGCTACCTGGCGCCACTGCCCGCCGCGGCCGCCCTGCCCCCGGCCGCCTCGCTACCAGCCGCGACAGCGGGCTACGAGGCGCTGTTGGCCCCGCCGCTCCGTGCCCCTCGCGCCTACCTGAGCCTGCATGAGGCCGCCCCGCACCTCCACCTGCCCAGAGACCCTCTGGCCCTCGAGCGCTTTTCGGCCACTGCGGCCGCGGCACCGGATTTCCAGCCGCTGCTGGACAACGGCGAGCCCTGCATTGAGGTGGAGTGCGGCGCCAACCGCGCGCTGCTCTACGTGCGCAAACTCTGCCAGGGCAGCAAGGGTCCGTCCATCCGCCACCGCGGCGAGTGGCTCACACCCAACGAGTTCCAGTTCGTCAGCGGCCGCGAGACGGCCAAGGACTGGAAACGCAGCATCCGCCACAAAGGTGCGGCCGCCGTGGGGGCGCGGACCGCTCCGGTCCCTCCCCTCCGCTCCCTGAGGACCCGTGGGTCCGGATCCCCCTCGTTCTGCCACCTGGGAGACTCCAGTTCTGCCTAGAGAGGGCGCTGCGACTCTGGGGCCGCCGCAGGGACACCCCCTTCCCCCAAGCCCGGTCGCCTTGTTGGACCCGGGCTGAGCGCCCTCGGCCTCCGTGGTCCCCCCAGCGCTGGCCGCACGAGCCGGCGGCTCTTTCTGCCCGGAAGGTCTTTGCGGGATTCCTGGGCCTTCAGGCTCCGGGGAAGTTTACGGGAAGTCGGGAGAGCGGGCGGGAGGCCGACTCGGCAGGATACTCCCCTCCGGGGTCGAGGAGCCACGGGTTCTGGAGGAGTAGAGGGGCACAAGTGAGGCCGGGTGCGGACGCGCGCTGGTAGAGAGAACGGCAAGGTGCATGGGTGGCGCAGGCAGGTGGGGGCTGCGGGGGCGCGCGTCGGGGCGGGAGCGCGCGGAGCAGAGTGGCGGCGGGGCTGGGAGCAGTCTCTAGGGCTCCTGCAGGAGTCTGGCTCCAAGGCCGCGACGTGTGGGCGCCAGAGCGGGCATGCGGAGGGAGAGGGGGTGAGCGCCAGGCTGGGGGTGGGGGATAGTTAGAAAGTTAGGGACCCAATCACGCTCGTCGACTCTGGGGCTCATGGCTCCGCGGGGTCAAGCGCAGTCCCGGGTCCTGACCGTGCCGCTCACCTGCGCCGGGCCCGACCTCCACGGTCCAGCTCCGGATTCCCGCGGACCTGCTAGGAGAGGGTGGAGCGCGGGAGGAGGGGCGCGCGGAGGCGGGGGAGGTGGGGGGAGAGACCGCCCTGCGTCAGGGGAGGGCGCTCGCCGGATCTTGAATTCCGAGCTCTGCAGATCCCCGCAACGTCTGCGAGGGTGGGGTGGGCGGCGAGGCCGGGTGTGGGTTCGGAAGTTGGACGGAGGCGGGTGTTCATACTGGTGGCGGGAGGGAACCCGGCCTTGCCCCTGGCAGCGCCCCGGAAGCATGCCCGCGTGCCCGGCCCGACCTGTGCCCGGTCCCGCTCCCTTACCGGTCCTGCCTCGGCTCTCCTCGCAGGGAAAAGTCTGAAGACGCTTATGTCCAAGGGGATCCTGCAGGTGCATCCTCCGATCTGCGACTGTCCCGGCTGTCGAATATCCTCCCCGGTGGTGAGATGTGGGAGAAAACCTGGGGCTTCAGGGTCTTGTTTCTCCGCTGCGGAGCTTGGCCTCTGTTTTCTAGAATCAGTCCTAACCTCAACCCTGCCAGTGGGCAGGAGGGAGCCCTCAGGGGCAAATAGAGGAGACAGCTTTGGTGGGTATACTGGGGCGTCAGACCCCGTCCCCCTTGATTCAGGGCAGGGCCCTGCCTATCCTGAAGCCTCTCTTTGGGAGCCCGGGAGCTGCTTCTCCTGAGGTCCTGGGGACAGCCCGTGGTGTGAAGGACTCCTCCCTGGACAGTGTCATCTGATCGGGGCCTGGGGACTTTGCCTTGTTACAGGTGTGTGTGTGGGGTGTGGGGGGAATGCGGTTTCACCATGTCAGCTGGCCCAGCCTGGGAGAGGAGCTGGTTCTAAGGGGACACTTGTTACAGGACGTGACAGTGTTGGTCAGCCTTTATGGACATTCTGGGGTGGCCACAGGCTTGGATGTGAGTGACCTGCATGTCTGGATGCCTAGCACTGGAGCCCTGTGGGACAAGGCCAGGGATGTCCAGGAGTGTCTGAGGATACAGCCTGGTCTGGGGCACAGTAGGTGCAGTGTGGGCCTTGGTGTCAAGAGAACTGCAGCTGGAAGCTGGTGTGGGACCTCCAACCCAGTGTAGAAGTCTGTTGAGCCCTCATTAGCCTGGGGGGGTGAGGAGGGCAGGAGAGCTGGGGCCTGTGCCTGCCCCGAAGCACTGCCTTCCCTCTCGCATGCCCTCCAGGCAGCAGTGGCTGGAGGCTCCATCTGAAAATCTTGTCTTGAGAGGGACAGTCTGAGCTTCTGTGGGAGAGCCCATGAGGACCACGGCTCCTGGCACCATTCAGCAACCCCCTCTGCCAGGAAGGCCTGAAAGGACCCTGCAGGCAGCCTTCAGCTTGTTTACTTTGGACTGGTGGTAGGGAGGGGGTGGGGGAAGTCTTGCATTCCTGGTGGGCCTTGGGGGTGGGCAAGCCAGGAAGCCACAGACAAGCCTGTAAAGACACACAGGTTGGGCAGGGGAAGGGGACACAGCTGAGCCTCCCCACTTGCCCACCCCACACACTGTCTGGCTCGAGCTCATTGTACTCACAGGCAAGCCTGCATGCAGAGCCCCCCAGACAGAGCATGTGCACAGGCAGCCTACCTTTGCCCAAAGCCATCACACCTGCCTGGGGCAGGAAGCTGAACTCCCCTTCACTTCTCAAGCAGCTGGTGCCAGAGAGGACACCCTCCAGGCTGGTCTGGGGCCTCTGCTGGTGGGAGGAGCCCTGCCTCTCCCACCATCCCCTTCTGAAGGTCTCCCACAGGAGGGCGTGGGCAGGTGGCCTGAGTCCAGCATCAGTCCCCTCTAAGACATTTCCTGATGGGAAGGCCAGGTTGGGCCCATAGCCCAGGGCTGCCTACCTGTCAGGGCCTGTCAGGGGCTCCCAGGCCCCTGCCCTGCATGAGGGACGGCTCAGACCTGGGCCTGCCTCTCTAGAGCCTGGTCGCTCCCAGGCCATCCCCATGCCTCTCCCTTAGGAAGGTTTCATGGACCCCCTTGTCTTTTCAGCCCCCACCTTTTTCACAGAGGCTGTTTTCCACTACTGCCCATGGCCAGGTCCACAGATAACGTGCACACTCCACAGGCTCAGAATATGAGTGTGCTCACAGCATTGGCGTCATGCTGTGGCCTCCATGCCCCACCCTTGCTGTCTGAGGAGCCAGTGCTTGGCTGGGACAGGGGCTTAGCACCCAATTCTGACATCTGTGTGCTGAGCAGGGGTCAGCAGCTGAGGTCTGTGGTGTGTGTGGGAGGCAGATGTGTCCCTGTACTTGGTTCAGGTCAGGACTGCTCATCCTGGTCCCTCTTCCTTAACTCCCCACTACCAGAGCCGTTCCAGGCCCCCGTACCTGGTATGGCCTTACCCAAGTGGCAGCCTTACTGCTCTGCTTCCCTCTCATCCTTGTCCCATAGATGAGAAGGAAAGGGAAGTGCACTGAAAACTTTTTCTTCAGAGAATAGTTTACTTAAAGCAGAAAGGCAGGAAAGGAGGTCCTGGTCCTTGGCCTACAGCAGGCTGGAGAAGGGCAGAGCTGAGGGGCTTTGCAGCCAAGCCCACTCCAGACAGGCCAGAGCTGTTGAAAACCCTGCCCCCCAGAGCCTGGCCGGAAGAGGCAGGGGGCCCAGTCGGTCACCCCCTCCACCTCCCTGCCTCACTGAAGCTCTGCTGCCACTGGTTTAGCTTGGAGCCAAGGCCAGGGTCTTAGAAGCACGGGGTGGGGGGGGGACCTCCTTTCGTCTCGCAGGCCTACCCCCAACTTCACTGCTCCCTCCACCCCACCTTCCCCAGTGCTGCCTGGTCTCTCACTGGACTTGTGTTGAAGGGAGGACCTTGGGGCACCTCCTGGGTGGATTTGTTTTTCTTTTCTTTTTTTTAGTTCTACCACTTTATTGCTACCAACCCATCTCCCTCCACCCTTGTGCACACATGCTCAGTCATGTAACCCCATGGACTGCAGCCCGCCAGGCTCCTCTGTCCATGGACTTTTCCAGGCAAGAATACTGGAGTGGGTTGCCATTTCCTTCTCCATCCTGGGTGGATTTGTGAGGGCAGGTGTGGCAGACTGTGGCTCCCCGACCCTGTCAGGGGCACTGCCCAAATCTGGGCCTGGGGTGGGCCATGTGTCTGGAGGTGGGGCTGGTCTGGATCTGAGGAGAACCTCTCCTCTGGAGTCTAGGGCTGTGGCGGCCGCACACAGCTGCCTTGCTGATCCAGGGGGACACTGTGTGGGGAGGGACGAAAGCCCCCTGGATACCTTCCTCCCCAAGCTCCTGCGTATGATGGGGACACATTGTCCTGGCAACAGGAGGAAGGAGCCCTAGAAGGCCTCAGTCACTGAAAAGATGAGAGAGAATTAGATAATTCCAAGGTCCCTGCCACCATCCTGAACCAGTAGTTATTAAATAAGAAAAAGCCTCCAGCCCACCAGAAAACGGGAGCTCTTCTTCCCTGGGGTGGCGGGACCTGCAGACACCAGCAGGTGCCATGCTATGCAGGGCCCTTGGCATGAGCTGCCAGCACGTGTGCAGGTTCTGGGCCCTTCTGTGGCCCTCCCTGCTCACACTGCGGGTGCAGGGCAGGGGAAAGGTGCACCTCGTAGAAAAACTCTGAATCTCGTAGTTCCTGACCAAGGGGATGGGTCCCCCCAGGATGCACAGGACAAAGGGCCTTGGCTGCCAGGTGACCTGTGAGCCAAAGGTCTGCAATTTACAAGGGGTCAGCCCCAGACTCCAGGCTTCAGACACTCCTGAGCTGGGCTTCATTTGGCACTGAGCATCGAAAGTGGGCTTGGCATGGGTAGGGGTTCACACAGAGTCTGAGTGGGATTGCCAGGCAGACATGCATGCAGAGGTAACTGCATGCAGTCAGGACACACGCGTCCTGTGGGTGCTCGCAGCCCTTTAGGGGCTGGGAACGCCGGGTTGGTCCCCAGCAGGCGTCCACACACAAGCCGAGCACCTGTGGAGGGGCTGGGCCGAGTGTGGAGTCTGGACAGGGCAGTGCCCATACGCTTACTCCTGGGCCCCCACCAGGATGGAGTGGAAGGCAGTCTCTGGACGGGTTTGTGAAGGAAGCCTTGCTCTCTGCTCTTGTCTTGGCCTCTGGCCAGTTGTGAGTGTCCTGGAGGGCTGGAGGCCTCTCTGCTGTAGGTGGGGTTGCCCAGGAGGCTGAGCAACATGGTTTGGCCTAAGCTTCCTCTCCTCCCTCCCTGTCCAGAACCGGGGGCGGCTGGCAGACAAGAGGACAGTTGCCCTGCCCCCTGCCCGGATCCTGAAGAAGGAGCTGACCCCCAGCTTCTCAGCCAGTGATGGCGACAGTGACGGGAGTGGCCCGGCCTGTGGGCAGCGGCTGGGCTTGAAGCAGGAGAACGAGCCGCATGTCCATATCATGAAGAGAAGGTGCTTCAGGGACCAGGAGGGGAGGGCACGCGGGCTCTGGCCTGGGTGGGGACTGGGATCTCCAGGCAGTGGAAGGCCAGGTCAGACCTAGAGGTGGAGAGCCTTTGCCCTGAGGACAGGGGCCCAGCTTAGCTTCTATCCTCTGCGTGGCCACTGACAGCTGCTGCAGGTGAAACAAAGCCTGGACTCCCAGGGACATGCCTCAGGACCACTGTGAACCTGCCTTGCCCCCACCTGGCGGCCGAGTGCCAGGCCAGAATTCAGTGGCATCATTGAGGAGCAGGCACCACCAATAGTCATGGCCAGAGCAGGCCAGGGAGGGCCCATGTGTGGGGAAGGGCCAGGGAGGGCCAGAGCTGCTGGGCTGAGGAAGGAGAAAGGCTCTTGGAGGAGTCTCATGCCACCACAGCCAGGCAGGGAGGAGGGAGCTGCGTGGATCCTCATGGGAGCACCCCTGACACTCACACTCACTCTCTTCGGAGTGGCCACTCCCTTGGCTCCTTACTGCCTCCCTCAGGTTTGGGGCCACCATTCCTGACCTCCTCCTTTCTCCCCTCCCTCCTGGCAGAAGCTTCTCCCTCTGCCCACTCACCTCTTTTTCCATCAATCCATTCATCTGTCCATCCATTGTCTGTCTGTCCAGCATGTCATATCTATCCTCAGAATTTCCAGGCCTTTTTCCTGCTTTTAATATATTCTAATTTCTCCTACCCTAACCCTCTTGGACACCAGAGAGCCCCGCTCCCAGCCTCTACTCCCACCTGTGCTGATGGAAAGCACCGCGTGGGCCTGCCACCACCCTCCCTCAGCCCATGGGTCTTCTCAGGGACACTGCTGTGGGTGAGAGGGTGGGCACAGCACAGGGCTATTTCCTTGCTTGACCCCTCATACCTCTGCTGTGTGACTGTCACTTCCAGGAGGCGGCTTGGCAGCAGCTGGGAGCCAAGGGCCACCATCGGAGCCAGTGGTGGTGGCCATGGGGTTCATTCCTCGACCTGGTTCCCAGCACCCCCAGAGCAGCTCTAGCAACTAGGAATTTGGGTTCAGTCACACAAGTGGCACATGCAGAGGAAGTCACGGCCCCCACCCCTGCACAAGTGGGGGCTCTGCTGGCTCCGCCACAGCAAGAGGCAGAGACGTGGGACCTCAGTTCTGTCCTTCCCAATTCCTTGTCTGGCAAGCCCTGGAGCAGGTGCTTGCCCTGTGGGTTTGTCCTGGCGGCAGCCGCCAACATGTTGAGCTGGTACCAGATGATGCTAGAGGTGGTTCTGAGCCAGCCCAGTTCCCTTGAGGCTGGCACTCCAAGGCAGACACAGGGCATGCCACATACATGTTCTGCTGTCCAAATGCTGAGTCCTGGAGGCCACACTGACCCTCTGCTTCTCTCCTTGCAGAGTCCACACCCACTGGGACGTGAACATCTCCTTCCGAGAGACGTCCTGCAGGTAGGGCCGGGCCTGGGCCCAGCTTCCCTTACATGTTGTGGGTGGGCAGCACAGAGCCTTGTCGCTCCATGTTCTTTGGTTCTGACTCTAAATCCCTCCAGCCTCCCTCCCCTCCTCCTCTCCTTGATCCATGGTCTATTGTTGACTTGTGCCTAAACTGTGACAGCAGCAGAGATGGGTTCTGGGCCCAGCCCTGAAGCCAGAGTGTGCTCCCCCTCTCACATTTGAGCCCATCTGCCCAAAGATAAGGCCATGCCTGGCCCCTCTCACTCTCCCAGAGACCTAACAGAATGTGAGAATGGTGATGTGTGAGTGGGGTCTTGAAGGATACATAGGAGCTCCCTAGGGAAAGGGGGTGTCTACAGAGACATGGAGGAATGAGGCAAGGGGGTATGGAAAGGGAGGAGGGGAAGCTGGCAGGCCTGGCTTAACTGGGTGCTAAAGGGCCTTAGATACTGGGCCTGTTGGGCATTTGCCTTCAGGCAACGGGGAGCCACTGAAAGCTCTTGAGCAGAGAAGTGGTTGGTGTATGCTTTGACAAGGTCCTGCTGTAGGCCCCATCCAGCAGGTTGGGGGTTTGCTCCAGTCTGTGGAGGGGCTGTAAATTAAAGCCATAGTAAGGAGATAAAAATGGGGAGACCTGATGTGGAGGTTGGGGGTGTTGGGGAGACCCAAGTCCCCCATCTCAGAGGGGTAGGATGGAGCCCTGGCTGTGGTGTCTGGTCAGTGGGATCAAGTCTTAGCCCAGGGCTTCCAGGGAAGGCACAAGACAGGCCCAGCCAAGCAGGCAGTGGGCATCCAGTGCCTTCGGGCCCCTCTCGCAGCCTGGCTCTGTGCCAGATGTGTTATTATTTATACTTCTGAGAATGTCTAGGTCCTGGAGCCAAATTACAATGAAAACGTCTTTAAACTTATTTCCACCTCATTTTGAAGTTGCCGGCTCAACTGATCATTTTTATGAACAGTCATGAACGTTGATGACATTTTATGAGCCTTTTACTTGGGAAGCTACATGAGAAATTTGTCAGTAAGGCCTGTAGGGGAATCCCAGGCTGCTGTTTCCCTGCCTGCAGCCCCCTGCTCACCCCAGCCGGCCGTGGGACATGGGAGAGGGCCCGGGTGTCCAGACACAGTAAGAGGCCAGGTCCCAGAGTGTGGCGGACCCTCCAAACAGCTGCGATGACTGTCTGGATTTTACCAGAGGGGAGACTGGGGGGTTAGCCAAGAAGACTTACAGCCCATCTGCCCCCCACATCGCCCTGCTGTGGCACCCCAGCGTCTGGCCAGGGAGGGCTGAGCAAGCCCACAGCGCAGCTGCTTCACACACCCCCACCTCAGCTCTGCCTCTGTCTCTTCCCGGCTCCTGTTGGCCCCGTCCGTGTGTCTTTCTGTCTCGAGTCTGCTGTCTGTCCTTCAGGCTCTGTCCATCTGTCTGTCTGCTGTTTCCAGCCTTTCTGTCTATCCAGTAGTGCCTGTCCTTGTGTGGCCATCTCCATCTGTCTAGTCATCTGACTTCATCCATCAGTCTTCATCTGTCTGTCTGTCCCTCAGTTCTACTCATCTATGCATTCGCCCCCATCCCTCTGTCTGCCTGAGTCTGCTGTAACCACGTGCCCGGTTGGAGCTCCCCCTTAAGCCCCGTGCATCCAGGGCAGCAGGCAGGAGATGTGGGCCCTGCTCTCCTGAGGCCCCTGAGCTGGCCAGGAGATGGACAAGGACTGGACAGTATACCAGGCACTGGAGGGGCCCATCATGGGGAGAAAGAGTCTGATGGTTCACACATTAAAAAAATAATAATTTTATTTACTTATTTCTGGCTCTGCTGGGTCTTGGTTATACAGGCTACTCTCTAGTTGTAGCGCTCGGGCTTCTCAGTGCAGTGGCTTCTCCTGCTACAGAGCACGGGCTCTAGGCTGTGCAGGCTCCCGTAGCTGCCGCATATGGGCTCAGCAGTTGTAGTTCCTGGGCTCCAGAGCACAGGCTTAGTAGTTATGGCACACGTTGCCTATGGCATGTGGGATCTTCGAGACCAAGGATCAAACCTATGTCTTCTGCACTGGCAGGCAGATTCTTTACCACTGAGCCACCAGGGAAGCCCTCTCCATGGTTCTTTACATAAAACCCGGCATAATTTGTTCAGTGAACAACCGAGTGACCACACAGGTTTTCTGGGGCCAAGCCATGCTGTCTTGGAGCTCATGGGTCAAGCCCCTAAGGCAGGAAGCCGAGGTTTGATGTGTGGCCTGTGTCTTGATTCCCACAAGGCATCACCTCCGCAGAGCTGCAGCATCACCTCCGTGGAGCGGCAGCACTACCTGAGTGTCTGAGCGACCAGCTCAAAGAGTTACTGGCCACAGCGGTGGTGAGCGCTGAGCCCCACTCCCTGTATAAGCACTCAGCTGAGGATTCACGGGAAACAAATGAACGGGCCTGACCCCACCTTAAGTCTCTGGGGGTTGGCCCACTTCCTGCAGGAGTCCTGGGAACGCCAAAAGGAGGTTCTCTCAAGGGAGAACTCTGTGGCAGCAGCAGTCCTGGCACTAGGCACCCCTACCCCTCCCTGATGCTGAGGACAGCATTTCTCTCTTCCACCCCCGCCCCCCGCATTGATGAGGATGATAGAGAGGATGAGAATTGCTGCCAATTAATCCCATAAAGTACTTACTCCCACCCCACCTGCCCTCTTGTTTGCATGGTGGGGGTTGGGGGGGGCCTTCTTTCCTCCAGGGAGAGGGGTTGGGGGTGGGGAGAGAGCTTGCATCAGGGTCTCTCAGAGCTTTAGAGCCCAGCCCTGGAAGCTTTGGTGCTGAAACTGATCTGCTTAGGGGCCAGCTCTGGATTAGCCTGCTCTGGCCACCCCGGCCAGAGCAGGGGCAGGGGGGGCGGGGTGCCTGGGGGTTATTTAATGAGGTTTAGGGTTGGTTCCCAGGTCACTTGGTGGAGGCCCCCCTTGAGGTGGCCCAGCCAGGAGGCTGCTCCATTACAGGTGGGCTGGGGAGCAAGGGTGCTGGGGAGGGATGTGCCGCAGGGTGGGCTGGGGTCCCTCCCTGCTCCTCTTCTGTCCTGTCCGACCGACTTCCTGCCACTCCAACTGCGTCTGCAAGGTGGCAGGGGCCCTTCTCTGTGCTAACGGAGATGCTGTCAGAACCTCAAGGGCAAATGCCATGGGGGCCATTCCCTCCCTCTTTTGTCTGGGGTTCTGTGATATAGGCAGTGAGCTGATCTAACAGGAAGAGCAAGGAAAGAACGAAATTAAATTCCTGTTTATCCCAAGGTTCTTGGTGGGGAGCCCTGGGAAGAGCAGAGTGTCCTTAGCACAGGCACACTGGTGACTGATGTGTGCATCTGTGTCTGTGTGTGTCTGCAGGTCTGTGTGAGTGTGTGTGTGCACACCCATGTATGTCCCTGGATGGGCACACACCTCATTGGCTACAGATTTTGGTCTCAACCTTGGTTTCTGTATTTGAAAAAACAGAGTCCGTGGGTGGCTGGAAGTTTTAGTTGCACTAGCATGTTTGCAGGAGCAAGTGCTGGGTCCACGTGTCCTCTCTGGCAGCCTTCTGCCGTCCCTGGTGGGACCTGGCTGCCCCAGAGCAAGAAGCAAGGACAGTGGCTGGTCTCTCTGCAGAGAACAGAGTCCAGATGGGGCCAGCCCTGCACTCCACACGGACCCTCCCTGGGAGCAGCAGTGGGGTCTAAGTGCAAGGCTGCTGTGTTTAGCAGACACTTAGCAGGTCCTGGTGGTCCCAGGTGGGGCTTGCGTAGGTCAGGGTGAGACTCCAGCACCCACGAGGAGATGGAGATGCTCACAGAAATGGTGTGCACGAGGTGTTGTCACACTCAGCGTTCCCTGGGCCATGCATGCTCACACTCAGGCTCAGCCAGGAGCCCCGAGGGGTCTCACCTTCCCTGTCTTGCTTCGCTGCAGCCAGGACAGCGACCTTCCCACCCTCATATCCAGCGTGCATCGCAGCCGCCACCTCGTTATGCCTGAGCATCAGAGTCGCTGTGAATTCCAGAGAGGCAGCGTGGAAATAGGCCTGGGAGCCGCAGGTGAGGAGCCAGGGCAATGCTGGGTGAAGCAGGGCTGCCAGGCTGCGCAGAGCAGCGTGAGGACAGCCGCCTCGCAGCCTCCCTGCGTCTCTGCTCAGCGGCTCTGGATGCCGCCACCCCCAGCAGCCTTGGCGGGCAGCCAGGGAGGCCAGCGGAGGAGGCGGGAGGTGGCGAAGCCGGCTGTCCCCCGGGGCTCCGTGTGATGGTAATTGTGTTAATCCCAGCCAGCCGGGCAGACAGGAGGCGGAGGCGGTGGCTCCACTGTGGCTGCTGCTGGGGTGGGCTTGGAGTGGCCAGAGGCCACAGCTACCCCCTGCTCTCAGGGGCAGATGGAGGCAGGACAGTCAGGGAGCACAGGCCTCATGTAGGCACACACCTGGGCATGGCTCCTGGATGGGCAGGGATGTGCTCTGCACACACCGACCCCAGAGCCAGGGCCCCTGGGAGAGAAGGGTCCACGTCCTGAGAGGAGAGGGGCTGGGGCAGGAGGATGCTTGCCTGGGGCTTTGTCCCTGTGGAGGGCTAGCTCCTGGAGGCAACAAGAGCTCGGAGGGAGGGGACAGCTTGCTGAGCTTTGGCTGAAGGGGGCTCTGGGTGCCAAGAGGAGCTGGCAGGGGTCCCTTGCTGCCCTATGGACCAGGGCAGACCCCGGAAGTTCCCAGCAGTGGCTGCAGCTTTCAGGAAAACTGGGCAGGGGGTGGTCCATCCTGGGACCCCTGAGTACCCCCATCAGGCCTTCCAGGTGTGCCAATGGCTGGGTAGTCCTCTGTGGGAGGTGGGGGGCTGCTGCTTCTGGAGCCAAGTTAGAGGCTCTGAGCAGGCGGCTGATAAAAATCTAATTGCCCCATCGATCGGGTGAGCCTCCAGAGTCCCACAGTGATTGAGATATTCGGAGCCAGTGGGCCCCCCTGCTGCCTGCACACGCGGAGACCTCCTCATGGTGCCTGGCCTGAGTGTGTGTGTGTGCCCCTGGCCTGGCCAAAAGTTTGGGCTTCCACTTACGCCCGTGTGACACGTGTGTGTCAAAGTGCCCTCACTGTCTTCCTGCAGAGGTACAGGACCCACATATGAGCACTTCACGGGTCACACATGATCTGTGTGAAGTGCCAAGTGTGTCCTGTGTCCGGGTTTCATCCAGGTCCTGCCCTCTTCTTGGGACTCTAGTCCTCATCAGCTTCCATGTCTTTCTGCCAGCCCCTGGGTGGAGGCCTTGGCCGGTGCTCACCTCCTCCTCCCCAGGAGCACGTGTCAGCCTTGTGTTCACCTGAGCAGGAGGGGTCAGGGAGGACTGGGCTTGCGGTGGGCCCTGCAGACATCTCCTTACTGTGTGTGTGTCTGTGAGTATATGCGGCCCTCATCAGGGACTGGTGAGCCCCGGACCTCCATGGCAGGACCTCTTTATGACAGTGGGCATGGGTCTCACTGTGGGCCCACCTGCCACCCCCTCCCAAGCACCTCTGCCAGGCAGAGAGGAGCCATCACCCCCCCAAGAGGAAGGGGAGGGGGTCTTCCCACTGTGGAGAATGAGAACTGGATCAAGGGAAGTGGAAGCCCTGGGGTATTCGCTAGGCCCCCAGGGGGTATGTGCAGGGTGGGGTGCAGGCAGCAGATGTGGACTCAGCCCTCCCCAGGCTTGGCACAGCTGGATGCTGCAGTCCTGGTGGTGCTGCTGGCTGGAGGCTCTTTGCCTTCCTCAGGGGCTTCATGCTGGTTGAGCACCCCCTACCCATCCTACCAGGTCACTAAGGTAGGACCCTTTGTCTGGGCAGTGGGACCGCATCCTCATCCCTCTCAGGGCAAGGTCTGGGGCTAGGCCACTGGGCCCAGGCCAGTGGCAGGAGGTGGCTGAGATCAATAAGTTATTAGCACCATTCTGTCAGCTGTAAAGTGGAGATTGATCGGCACTCCACTGCTGCACTTCCTTGCCTGATAAAAATGACAGATTAAGGGAATAAGAAAAAGGAATTAGGCTCTGGAGCTGACCGCAGGGTTTCTCAGTAGCTCCCCTTGCTGAGGTGTCATGGTGGGCCTGGGTCACTGAGGGGGTGGCCCCTTCACCCAGATGGCCTCATGAGGAGGGAGTGGGGCCAGGAATGCAGGGTTTGGACTGGAAGCTGACACGATTGCTGAGCTGTTCCACAGAGACCTCCCAGACCTTGGGCTCAGGAGGGAGCCTGACATCAGGGTGCCAGAGGCTTGGGTAGAGAAAGACTGACTCCAGGGGATCGGAAAGAGGACTTTAGGATAGGGGTGGGATGGGCTCTGGGCCACATGAGGGGCTATGCACAGTGGGTGATGGGGTGCCCTTGGGCGCTTAGCCCAGCTGGACAGGTAGTGTCCTCGGGCTTTCTGGGGGCAATGATGTGGCCTGTGGGGAGGAACCCAGGAAGAATGGATGGGGGCAGATACACCTGACCTCCAGGGCCTGTGGCCTCTAGGAGGAGGTTGGGTTACCCTGGCATGCGACCCTGCACTGCTGGTAGTCAGTCACCTCGGTCCCAGGAGGAGAGGGTGGGAAGGTGCGGAGGAGGGCTCCTTACTCTGCAAAGGAGGCTCATCTGGCAGGTGGGAGCAGCATGGTGCCTGTGAGGTCCTGAGTTGCTGCCTGAGGCCATAACCATGCATCTCCCATCACATACACACACATGTAGCCCAGAGCCCAGGGTTTGGACTGTCCCATTCCCTCACTCTGACCCAACCCTGCTGGACTGGGCAAGGCTTGAACCATAGGCACCTTTGAGTGATGAGAGCTATGGTTCTGGGCTGAGCTGGAGCTGGGCTGGCACTGAGGCAGGAATTGAGGCCAGTATTGGGGTGGGCTGGAGCTGTTCCTGTCCTGGCCTCTACAAGCCCTGAACACAGGATGGGATTCACTCTGCCCTCTCCCAGGTGACCTGTTGGGCAAGAGGCTGGGTCGCTCCCCCCACATCAGCAGTGACTGCCCTTTGGAGAAGAAGGCCCGAAGCAAGTCTCCTCAAGGTGTGGGCTTTGCCCCGGGGGGTGAGGGAACAGCCACTGGAGAGGGAGGGGGACAGCCTGGACCCTCCGCTGGGCACAGTCAGCCAGCAGCAGGTTCTAAGAGGGGAGCCCCTGTTTCTCTCCCTTAGCAGTGTCTAGAGGGGAAGCCCCCTCTCCTGTGTTTGCCCAACTCAGAGACTCTGTTGCTTCCGGAACTAGGGCCCAGCATGGCCCCTGAGGATCATTACCGCCGGCTGGTGTCTGCCCTGAGTGAGGCCAGCACCTTTGAGGACCCTCAGCGTCTCTACCACCTGGGCCTCCCCAGCCATGGTATGTAGCCCCTCCCCACGGCATCATGAGTGTCCACGATGTGCTTCGGACTCTCCCTGTCCTGTTAGGTCTCTGCTCACCCTGAAAAGCGTGGCTGCTGACACAAAGGCTGGGATTGGATGCAGGTCTTTTGGCTCCTCAAACCTTGAAAGCCTTTGTAGGTGGACAGTGAGGCCCACCTCCTTCCTGTGCCCAACACAGTGGCCTGTTTGGGTAGATCTGGTTGGAAGGGCCGTCCCTCACCAATAAGTCTCCCAAAGGCTCTCCCAGCAGGGCCTCAAATGGCCACTGCTCACTGCCATTTCACAGAGGAGGAAGCTGCTTGGCGGAGCTGAAGGGAGAGTGGGAGGTGAGGGTTTCACCAGGCCCACCCATGTCTCCAGCACATACAGGTCCTTGTAGGTCCCTGCCTCCCCTCCCCTGTCCCCATCTGAATGGTGTGGTCTGGATACAGTAGTCCTTCCTGACTCCAGCTGCAGTCAGAGCAGAGACTCTGTGAGAGAGTGCCAGACCCCTTCTCAGGAGGGTGGGGCCAGGAGCAGAGCAGCAGTCAGCCCCCTGACCGTCCACGTGGACGTCTGTCCAGAAGCAGGATGGGCGACAGTTCAGGTTTGGTGGCCCAGTTTTCACTGGTGCTCAGGAGGAGCTCCAGCCAGAAACACCACTTCCAGACCGGATACCTGGAAGTCCCCCTACCACCACAGGGGCACCGTCTGGCACCCTGTCCAGTTGCACCCTGACCTTGCAGACCCCAGCCCAGGCGGAGTAGCTTGCCTTTCCTGGCTGGAGCTGGGTGAGGGGTACTTGCTGGGAAAAGGGGCTGGATTTCCTCTCCTTACACAGGCACTGTCCCTCAGGGCAGTCAGGCACCGAGAGCCTGAATAATTCACCAAATGTTAATAATTTAAAAATCTTCCTTTTTAATTGCTTTCCCTGCCCTGCCTGGGGCCGGCTCCGCTGGCTGTGTGGGGGAGGGGCGCCGGCCGCCAGGAGCGGCGCGGAGCCGGGCTGTCAATCAGGCCTCCGCCTGCCGCCCCCGCCGGGAGCCGACGGTAAATAACCGAGGCCGCGGGCGGGCGGGGGCGCAGGGCCCTGCCGAGATCGATGCGGGCGGCCGCGCCGGCTGGGCTCTGCGGGCTGGCACCCAGCCCGGGGCAGGACCCACCTCCGCTTTTCGGGTAATTAATTTATAAACAGGCGGTGGCAGCGGAGCCGGCACAGCGGGGGGCTGCGGGGCGGGGAATTCTGAAGTCCGGGCCTGAGCTGGACGGAGGGCTGGGGGTGGAGAGCAGAGCGCCTAGACTGCGCAGTGAGCCGAGGTGTTACCTAGGAGAGGGCTGGAGACCTGCCCCAGCCCTGGACTCCAGCCCCGCTGCCCCCACACTCTAGCGTTTGCGTGACCCCTCCCCTCTCGGGCCGTGCAGTTTGGCTCTTGGCAGTGTCAGTTCCTGTCGAAGTCAGGGTTCCTGTGCCACCAGCCTTCCCTGTCCGGGCCTTTCCCTTTCTCCATCCCAACCACGTTTTGGCTCCTAACATCTCCACATCCCTTATAAATGCTCACCTGGGCCCCCTCCCAAGACCAGTCGGTGCTGCCAGGCCCCTTGCCTAGGGATGTCTGGTATCTGCCCTGCCCTGGGGTCTGCTCATCTTTCTGTCCCAGTGACCAACCAGCAGGATCTGGGAGAATAAGCTCCCATTCTGCGTCCTTGGCCAATGTCCTATGCTCAACAGGGTGAGGGACATGAGAGTCCGGTGGGGGGCCGGCCTCTGGGTCACTGCTGGTGCCTACACTCCCCAGATCTCCTGAGGGTCCGACAGGAGGTGGCAGCAGCAGCCGCGAGGAGCCCCAGTGGCCTGGAGGTCCACCTGCCCTCATCCACAGCAGGTCAGCGTCGGAAGCAGAGCCTGGCTCAGCACAGAGACGGCACCGGCCCAGCTGGCGCCCCATCCTTCTCAGAGAGGTATCAGGGTGCCTGCATTTCAGAGAGGCCCCTACATTTCCTGTGTTGGCTTCTGGGCTATAGAGCTGCAGGTGGCAGACCCATCAGCTGGTGTCTGGAGGTCAAGTCCACAGCCCGCATCTCCCCATCCCAGCCACACAGCCACAGGGTCCTCAGTGGACCTGGCGCTGTGCTTGGGCCTAGGTTGGCGGCCTGCTCTGCAGCAGCAACGTAATGCCCCCTGAGTTGGGCAGAGGCCCAGGGAAACATTCGTGGGGTAGACTGTGGGGATGACCACATTTCTATGTGGGGTGTCTTTCTGTTGAGCAGCTGTGGGGCTGAATCCAGGAGCCCCTGAGACAGCTGAGGGCTTTGCTTCCCCAACAGGGAGGTGAGGGGGCTTGAGGCAGATGAGGGGGAGCAGCACGAGGTCTGGCAGCCCCGAGGTCGAGGTCGGGGGAGGCTGGGGAAGGGGGGAACCCCGCAGGAGCACCAACTCGGACACTGGAGCTGTTGGTTGCACAGAAGAGTCCCCCAGGCTTGTAGCGGCCGGGAGACACCAGGCAGGGGCGGGGGCTGGAGGACTTTAACTGCTCCCCGCCCCTCCCACCAGGAGACACCCCCTCCCCCGCCCCCCGCCCTTGCACCTGGGCAGTGTTCGCGGCAGCCGCCGCCTCCCGGACCACGGCTAATTGCGCCTGGTCTGCACAGGGTTGGCTGGGCTGGGCGGGGGCGGTAAAAGGGGGGCCAGGGGCTCCCGCACGGTAATTACCGCCACAGTCGCCGCCGCCCGCCGGGCCAGCGCCTCCGCGCCGCCGCCGAGATTAATTGGCGCCGCCAGCGGGGGCAGGGACGACCGGAGCCGCGGCGGGCGCACATCGACCGCCCGCGGGGCCGGCAATTAGCAGAGGCGGCCAGAGCGGGGGCCGCGGGGGCTGGGGAGGTAGTTCCGGGAAGGAGGGGGCCCGAGCCTGCGGCGCGCGCGGCCTAGCAGTCCACAGGGAGCTTTCGCCCTGCCGCCCACAGGGAGCTGTCACAACCGCCCCCCTTGCTGTCGCCTCAGAATGCCCCACACATCGCTCTGGGCCCCCACCTCAGGCCCCCCTTTTTGGGGGTGCCCTCGGCCCTGTGCCAGACCCCAGGTGAGCAGTAAGCGGGTGTACGATGCTGTCCCCCGGGCGCGGGGTGGGGCTGTTGGTGTGGGCCCATAGGGTATGTGTCACCGAACCATTAGTCCATTAGTGCTCCCGGCGAACCCATCCCTGCCCTTGTTGAAGCCAAGGACAGACCAGGGCGGGCTTGGCTGGCCCTGGACCACTCGGCCACCCGGCCTCGTGGTCTGTCCCCTTCCCCCCAGGTTACGGCTTCCTGCCCCCTGCCCAGGCGGAGATGTTCGCCCGGCAGCAGGAGCTCCTGCGGAAGCAGAATCTGGCCCGGTATGTGCTTTGGCTGGGGGGGTTGGGGGGCGGGAAGTGGCTCTGCCGAGCTGCCTGACCCCCTGCGGGCTGTCCCCACGGCCAGGCTGGAGATGTCAGCAGAGCTCTTGCGCCAGAAGGAGCTGGAGAGCGCGCACCGGCCGCAACTGCTGGCGCCCGAGGCCGCCCTGCGCCCGCCGGACGGTGCCGAGGAACTGCAGCGGCGCGGGGCCATGTTGGTGCTGAGACACAGCTCTGCGCCGCTGCTGGCCCTGCCTCCCCAGGGTCCCCCGGGTCCCGGGTCCCCTACCCCACCCCGAGAGCCTGCCCGCCGAGCTCCTCGGAAAGGGGGCCCCAGCCCTGCCTCAGGCCGGCCCAGTGAGTCCAAAGAGACAACGGGAGCTGGACTCTGGGCACCAGACGGTTCTGAAGATGAACCCCCCAAGGACTCAGACGGCGAGGACTCCGAGATGGTGGCTGTTGGAGGCCAGGTCCCCCACCCAGGCCAAGTCCCACCTGGAGGGGCCAGCTCTGAGGGGAAGGGACTTCTCTCAGGGTCCATGCTGCCCCCTCCACTGCCCCTGGGCTTACCCTACACTGTCAGCCCCTTCTTCCACACAGGTAGGCAGCACCCGCCCCTCATGCCTTCATTTTTCCATGGGGTGGAAGGGGGCCCAGTCCCCCTACGTCCCACCCAGGGTCTCACGGAGGGTCTTCATGGGGAGAAAAGTTCCTTTCAGCCATCAATCCAACATTTCTGAATAATTAGGGCGGGCAAAGGTCAGCAGACAGGGGTGGGGTCATAGAAAGAGCTGGCCAGAATCCCAGTAACACCCTCCCCCCAACTCAGGCACCATGGGGGGCCTCTTCATGGATGGGGAGGAGGCCACAGCCCCTGAGGACGTCAGCAAGTGGACAGTGGACGATGTCTGCAGCTTTGTGGGGGGCCTGTCTGGCTGTGGAGAATATGCACCGGTGAGGGGCCACCTGCCCAGGATGGTTCGGAGCTCCCCCCCATTCCCCTACTGTACTGCCCACCCCAGACTTCTCAAAGACTGGCGGAGGGAGGTACTGGTGAAGGCTCCTCCCTCCCCTTGTCAGTGCGTCTGCCTCCAGCATGGGCACGTCCAACAGAGGAGAGTTTTCTTTCTTCTGACATCTTCCCCAAGTTGCACCACCAGCTTCTCTTGGCTCTGTTTTCTCTGGAGAGCCGAGGCCACCCTAGGACACAGCCCCAGCACTCAGGCCCTGATACCGCGCCCCCTTGCCCTCCCCAGGTTTTCAGAGAACAGGGGATTGACGGGGAGACCCTGCCCCTGCTGACAGAAGAACACCTCCTGACCACCATGGGGCTGAAGCTGGGGCCTGCTCTCAAGATCCGGGCCCAGGTGAGCACCTGAAGGGGGCAGTGGTCTCCAGACAGCCAAGGGGCAGCTCGGAGGTTCTGCGTGTGGCTGCACACCAGCAGCCTCACAGGCCCCATCGGGCCGTCTCTCCACAGGTGGCCAAGCGCCTGGGCCGCGTCTTCTACATGGCCAGCTTCCCCGTGGCTCTGCCACTGCAGCCACCGACAGTGCGGGCTCCTGAGCGGGAGCTCAGCTCAGGGGAGCAGCCCCTGTCCCCAGCATTGGCCCCCTCCCCCTATGGGGGGGTGCATCCCCCGTCCAGCCGCGCCTCACCCAAGCAAGAGAATGGAACCATGGCTCTGCTCCCAGGGCCTGCAGACCCCTCCCAGCCTCTGTGCTGAGTTGGTGTCAGACCAAGGCCTTCAGTGCCAGCTGCTCCCAGGCAAAGGCCACTCCCCCCAACAGCTTATCCCCTTTTTGTTTTGGATGCAGAAACAATTTTAAACACATGACATTCAGTTTCCACAGACTCTGGGGGTGACTGCAGAGCCTGGTGCACACCCTGGGGGTCGGTACTCTGCATCCCAGGAGCTGCAAATAAGCCAGAGACCAAGGAGCCACAGAGGCGCGTGGCACTGGCCCCACCACATGGCTGTGTCAGCTCGCTACATCGGGTAGGTGCATTCCCGCCCGCCACCGTGGGCTGTGGCAGGAAGCGGGCCCCTCGGTGGTTTACGGACGCAGCTCCAGAAACCAGACCGCATTTGGTACTTTCTGATCTTTTATGTTGTAAAAATAAAGGCCTGTCCACCATCTACTGCCCTTTAACCCTGCAGGGGCGCTAACCTCAGGGCCTCTGGGCTCAGCCCCAGTGGAGAAGCAGCATGTTTGACTGCCTGGGGAGGCGGGAACACTGCACAGCAGCTCCCGCAAGACTCTAGGTGGGCAGTCCTCAGTCCTCCTCAGAGAGTTGTAGATCCTGCAGCTCGTCCTCTGGCCCCTGGGCCAGCTGCCACAGCTCCTGGGGGTCCAGCCCCACCTCTGTGTCTGGGCTTCCATCTGCAGGGAGAGAGCACAGCTACATAAATTCTGCTTTATCAGGAAGAAGCCAGCCTCAGAGGTTACTCATCACTAATTAATCACAGCACTAATTAATTTATCGCTGCTGCTGTTGCCGGCTGCCAGAGCCAGCCAGGATGGAGCAGCTGGCCTGGTGTCCCCAGGGAGGGGCGTGGGCCCAGCTTAGAGCCAATGGCTCTGCCCACCCACAAGATCCCCCAAGGCAGCCCTGGGCTCCAGACAGATGGGCTCAAAAACCACAGCAGCCCTCACTCTGGGAACCACTTACCCTCTGACTTGCTGACTTCCTCCTCCCCGTTGCTACTGCTGCTGTCATCCTCCTCCTCCTCCACTTTCTGCCAAGCTCCTGGGGACCCAGGCATCCCTGAAAACCAAGCACAGGCGCCCATGGGAATGGACCCACGAGCAAATGCAGAGGTGGCCGCTAAAGCAGCAGAGGGGCTAGGGGCACAGCCTTGTACCACACCTTCCCTTCGGTCTCCTTTGTTCACCTGGAGAGGACCTGGAACTGCCCCCAAAAAGTTGTGGTGGGAGGGGGTGACACAAAGCTTAGAGGTACGTGTTCCAATTCCAGGAGGGCCCCCACCTCAAAGCCAGCCACGTGGCAAGAGGGGCAGAGGGGTGATGACAAGTGCCCTTCCTGTGGTTCCATGAGGTGGGAAGCCTGCTAGGCACACCTGCTCCCATGACCCCAGCACAAGCTGAAGCTCACTCAGGCCAAACCTCTCTTTGTGAAGTCCGGGGCATCATCCTCATCATCACTATCCAGATCGAAGAGGTCCTTGAATTCTGCCCTGTCCTCATCCTTCCTGTCCCCCACCTTGCGGCGCTTTACCTCTGGGAAGTTCAAGTCTTCCAGCTGGAAGGACAGGGACCAAGAGCAGAGGTGAGGGCGGTAGCCCACCCACCACAGCCAAAGCCCAACTCACATTCCCACTGATGGCTTTACCAAGACCCAGTCCTGCTCCCTCCTCCCCACTGAACACCCCTCCAATAGCCTCCAGTCTACCCTCCAAGTGAGGACCCTGCCTGGCCACTTTTGGGCCGATTGGTCATCATCACTGGATAGGATTCCTGGACAGTGGCCTCACCAGGCCAGTAAGCAGGCCACTAAGTGCCATTGAAGCTCCAACCTTCCTGTTCCCCCCAGTTTCAGCCATTACCCCAGAACAGACAGCAGCCCACACTGACACCAGGGCACTGCTGCAGACAGCCATATCACTTGGCACAAAGCCATCCCCTCAGGTCATACCATTCACACCCACTGCTCAGGACCAGACCCAAAGACAGAGCTAGACCTCTTCCAGCCCTCCCTGCAGGTCCACATGACAAGGTCAGCCCAGAACTCACCCCACGAAAGTCCCAGCCCATCAGGCCTGAAAAGGGGCAGCAGATGCTCTGCCCCAGCACAGCCCTGGGGCCTTTCCTCCAGGGGGTCACAGGAGAAGCCCCCAGACTCTACCTGGCTCTGCTCACCACCTGCTCCGTCACAGCAGCAGCAGCTGGGGGCAGCACCCACCGACCCCCACTCACATCCTCCCAGCCAAGCTTACATCCCAGAACCCACGCCATACTCGTTCTTTGCCACTAATCTCCAGCTGAATCTCGCGGTCCCTCAGCTTTCGCCACTGGCTGTAGTACTTGGTAAGCGGGGTCCCCTCCTCTCGGGTTCGCTTCTCCCAGGCATCCTATACAGAAGTCCAGGGTCATGTCCCACCCTAGGCAAACTCCCATATACCAGCCATACATGGACTGGTGCCCCCAGGGCTTGGGCTCTGGCCCCCAGCTGACCACTGCACGCTGATCAGACACGCCGAAGGAGACTCTCTGGCGGGCACTGCGGATGTGCTCTGCGTTCTCCTGCACCTTCTCAAGCAGCTGGCGCATCTGACGGCAGTAGTTGGCCACCTTGCACTCCCGGAGGAAGGATTTCAGCTGCAGAAGAAGAGGCTCAGCCTAGCTCCAGGCACAAGGCTGTTCTGTACCGCATGCAGTGACCGCAGACAGGCAGGAGTGGGGGTGGGGCGGTGTCATGGGTTCCTGTGTTTCAGGCCTGGGGGGCACTCCTGTGACAGGGGAGCCCTGGTGCACATGGGTGAGGGGGTGTTGCTGTGTGACCTCTATAGCCCAGCCCCTGGGGGCCTATGCAGGGCTGATGGGAAAATGTGCGTCAAGCCTGGGGACCAGGCAGAGGGGTGGGCAGTGGTGGGGACAGCATGGATCTACTCTCTAGGCTACATCCCACCCACTGCCTGTCTCTGTAAATAAAGCTATACTGGCACATTTGTTCATGCATTTCTGTGAGTTTTTTTGTCCTTCCTTCTGTGGGAAAGTTGAGCAGTTTCGAGAAACCATGTGACTGCAAAGCTTAAAATATTTACCATCTGACTTTTTACCAAAAACATTTGCTGAACCTTTTCTAGACCACGATCCCTGGGACTCAGACACAGCAGGTGCACACACACTATGTGTGGCGAGCCCCGCCCCACTCACCACCAGGCCCAGGCTGGCACAGGCCTCCCTGAGATGGGAAGTACCTAGGCTGAGGGTAAACAGACCTTGAAGTGGCCCAGAGGAGCTCTGGGGAGGGAGGGTCACCCCACCTCCCTAAGTATTGCCTGAAGAAAAGCTGAGGTGGACAGCCAGGGCTTGCTACCACCCCAAACCTCTCCTATTGCATCACCCAGCTCAGGAGCACCTGGAAAAGCATACACTCAGACTAGCGCAACCCAGAGCTAGGGGGCCAGGTCCAGCCTGCTCAGCCCCAGCACCTCCAAGCAACCTCATGGCTGGTCTGGACCCTGGGCTGTGGCAGGGTGGAGAAGCACTGGTAGGTCCTGGGGTCCTCGCGGTGCACCCATACCAGCCCACTCCTCAGGCTCCACACCCAGGGATGCGCTCCAGGGATCTAGCTGCCAGGCAGTGTCAGCAGATGCCACACTGGCCAGGCTCTGCCACTCGTCCCGTGTGGCTGGGACTGCAAAGCCTCACTCCAGCCCCACATGAGGGGAGCTAGCCCGTTAGGAGATGGTCTGGTCTGCTGAGGGATCTGGGCCCATGGAACCAGCCAGGTGGGAGGCAGCGGGCACACACCTGCAGGACAGCGGGCAGCACCAGCTCAGGGAATGCGATGCTGTGGGCCTGACTGTGCAGGTACTCCAGGGTGAGGTCATACAGCTGCTCCACCAGGCCATCCTGAGGCAGTGAGGGATCGGTCAGCATCAGGGAGGATGGGGGCTCATGCTCACCAGGCTCCCTCAACCCTAGGAGGCCCACAAGGTTCAACTCTGGAGTACAGTGAGCCTTCTCCTGTCCACACTCATCTGCCTCCAGGCACCCCACACACAGTGCCCTCCGACATCCTGCCATGACCCTGCCCAGGGCATTCCCAGACCCCTCCCGGAGGCTGGGCTCACCCGATATGCCTTCTCCTGCAGGTTGACCTTGGACAGCTTCAGGATCACAGCGAAGTTGATGGGCCTGGAGCTTATGCGCCCTGGCCTCCTGTTGAAGTCAACCTGCTGGAAAATCTGTCCCAAGGACCTGTCAGCCCTTCCTGCACACGACAGGACCCTGGGTCCCTGGAGACACTTCTTGAAACCAAGGACAAGACGCAGTGCAAAAAAAAAAAAAAGACGCAGTGCCAGCCCTTCGGCCCCCAAACACAGCCTTTCCCCCCATCAGCTTGAGTTCCAGATCTCTGGTCCCCCAGAGTCCCTGTGCCACAGAGCAGGTCCCTGGCTGAGGAAGCAGGATCAGGGCACACCTTCATATACTGCTGCTGCCCTCCTCCTCAAATGGACCAGAAAACCTTGAGAACCAGCGTTTGGAGACAAAGAAGGGTCCCTCCAGCCTGGGGTCACCATCACTGTAATTTCCTCACCCACAACCACACCCCCACAGCCTGGTCCTGGTCTTTAGCGTTTGGACAGAAGCCTTTCCTGACCTGAGCTGTGTGCACACGTGTACACACAGATGCACACGTGCAAGGACAAGCACAGGAACACAGTTTTGGAATTCCGGCCCAGCTCTGCTGCTGTGATACTGGCAAACACCCGGGTCAACCCAAGTCTGTGGCTTAAAAGCAGCGCTCTCGGGCCGGCCCTGCAGAGCAGTTGTGCTCACCTGTAGTGCCACTCTTGCCCACCACACAGAGTACTCACAGGCAGGCTCCATGCAGAGCAACACCCTCACAACACCTACGTGCTATGTCATACCCATATGCTGTGGGTGAGGAGCCAGCACTCAGGACAGCAGTACCAAGGTGAGGGGTGATCAGGCCACATGCAACAGAAGGCATCTGCCCCCAGCAACCCTGGGC